TTGAATCAAAAAAGCAAAGAGAAGACCTAATTATCTTAAGCCAAAAGTCCTTTCTAAGGCACATTATATTAAAACTGTTCAAAATTAATGACAAAGAAAGAATTCTCAAGGCAGCGAGGGAAAAGGAGACAGTAACTTAAGGAAATTCCATTAGGGTGTCCAACCTGTGGCCCATAGTCTGCATGTGGCTCAGGATGGCTATGAATGTGGCCCAACACAAAATTATAAATTTACTTAAAACTGTGAGATTTGTTTGTGATTCTGTGTCACAATGTATTTAACGTGGTGCCCAAGACAACTCTGCTTCCACTGTGGCCCAGAGGTGCCAAAAGATTGGATACCCCTGCATGATTAGATCATAATTGGATTTTTCAGGAGAAATCCCACAAGTTAGGAGAGAGTAGAATCAAATATTCAAAATATTGAAAGAGAGAAATCACCAGCCCAGAATAATATATCCAGGAAAATTATACTTTATTTTTTGGGGAAGGCAAATGTCAGGCTCTGCTTTATGGAGTGCTGTAGCATGACACAGGTCAAAAGAGGAGGCAAGTCATGGCTGGACAAACCCTTCTCAGGGGTTTTGCTGGAGAGGGATGAGGACTGGCTGCTCAGAACAGAGCTCCCAGGGCCTCAGAGGTAGGGTGCTGGCCTGGCTTCTGTCCCCTTGTCCCCGAAGAGGCCCTGCAGTAGAGCAGTAGCATCTGGGGAGGCCCCCTCTCTCCCATAGAGCTACTGCAGCCCAGCCTTGCTGTCTGCTCACTCCTAGCAGGGGAAAGATACCACCCTAAATGCTGATATGGCTGGGCCAGGGTGAATGAGGAAGAACAAAGGGAACAAGCCCCAAAGTGAGAGGTGTGGGCATTCCAGGAGCAGAGCTGGTTGCAGGCCAAGGCCAGTCAGCTAAGCTGTAATGGCTGCTCCCTGTGCCATAGCCTGGGGGCTGCAGGAAGTGTAGGTCTGCACCCAGCTCAGCATCTGAACCAGAAGACAGTAACAGGTAGAGGCTTTAGCTTCTGGCTTTTATTGGTTGCTTTTTCCCCCTTCAAATCCAGCATTATAAAAATTCACCTGAGCTGGTGGTTTCATCACAGTGGAGGTGGAGGCAGACCAGCGGTCGTATGGGAGTAGGGTACCAACATGGTGTGATGGGTTCTTCACATGTAATGGCAGGCCAAGAAACTGTCAGCCAGGGTCACACTGGAGACTGGGCTTCCTTAGCACAGCCAAGGCTGTTCAGAAGGGGCAGCATAGGGGCACTTTTGTCTTGTTTAGCAGTATATGAAGGGCATTTATGCACATGTCCTTTTCCATTGTGCACAGGGATCCCATCATGTGCCAGCAAAGAGCCAGCCTTGTCCATCTACAAGTTGTACTTGAAGGCCTTCTTGACATCCTCCATGATTTTCTTTGGTCTTCAGGTTGAAGTCCAGGGCATTCGCCCTGGCCCAGTAGAACTGCTGGAACTGCTGTTCATTGTCCACATACCTAAACAGGTAGAACTCAGTCCCCTCCCCAGTACTGGGGAGTTTCAGGACCCACTGGGCCACCTTCTTAAGCAGCTGACCCCTTAGAGATCCCCAAGACAGTGGGTATATGTATGGGCCACCAGCAGCTCTGGCTCATTCTGCCCCACATAGTAGAGTCAGTCCACAAACTTTTGAGTAGCCTTATAGCACTGCATCTGCTCCCTCCAGTCCCCACCAAAAAAGAACTCTATGTCCTTGGTCAGTGTCTACTTCCAGTGTAGCCCCATGGAGAAGTACAGTGAGTATAAAGGCTAGATGGTATATGTTGCTGTCCATTTCCTCTTCGAGGGCTGAGTATGTGAAGTCAAGTGCAGTAATGGACAGCTTAAACAGCTCTTTCCTGATGTTAGCTTGACAAACTGCCTGCTTGTGTGCTTCCGTGGTCCCTTCAGGAGCTCAGAGAGGTCAGCCATTCTGGTATGGCTTTCTATTTCTGGAGCCTTGGAGTTCTTTTTCTCTGACTCAGCCATCCCCTCTGAGGTCTCCAGTTCCACTGATATCATTACCAAATGTGGTTCTCGTTGCCCTCACTCCTCTGCTCCAGTCACCAGTGTGCTTGGACATCAATCTGTAGGCATGCCTGCATGTTTGTCAGTGACTCCCTCAGGTGCTGCTATTGCAGCCTAGCAGGCAGGCCAAAATTATACTTTAGATATGGAGGAGAAATAAAGGCTTTTTCAGACATGAAGAAGCTGAGGGGATTTACCACCAGAAGACTTGCATTACAAGAAATAGTGAAGGGTGTTGTTCTACCTGAAACGAAAAAGATAAAAAGATACAAAATTATGTGTAAGATGACTGACAGAGGCAGGAAATTGCAACCCTTGTTCAGAATAGGGTGTTAAGCACTTAGCTATAACATAAAGGCTTAAGGAGGTTAAAAAACATTTTTAAATGTATTTTATTGATTATGCCATTACAGTTGTCCCATCCCCCCTTTATTTTCCTCTGCCCTGCACCACCCTCCCACCAGCATTCCCCCTCCCTTAGTTCATATCCAAGGGTCGTACATAAAAGTTCTTTGGCTTCTCCATTTCCTATACTATTCTTGCCCTCCCTTTGTTTATTTTCTACCTACCATTTATACTTCCTATTACCTGTACCTTTTCCCCCATTCTCTCCTCTCCCTCTCCACTGATAACCCTCCATGTGATCTCTATTTCTGTGATTCTGTTCCTGTTCTAGTTGTTTGCTTTGTTTTTGTTTTTGTTTTTAGGTTCAGTTGTTGATAGGTGGGAGTTTGTTGTCATTTTACTGTTCATATTTTTTATCTTTTTCTTTTCCTTAGATCAATCCCTTTACCATTTCATATAATAAGGACTTGGTGATGATGAACTCCTTTAACTTGATCTTATCTGGGAAGCACTTTATCTGCCCTTCCATTCTAAATGATAGCTTTGCTGGATAGAGTCATATTGGATGTAGGTCCTTGCTTTTTGCAAGGTTTATTTTGAGAAATCAGCTGATAGTCTTACGGGAAGTCCTTTGTAGGTAACTCTCTCCTTTTCTCTTACTACTTTTAAGATTCTCTCCTAATCTTTCATCTTGGGTAATTTAATTATGATGTGCCTTGCTGTGTGCTTCCTTGGGTCCAGCTACTTTGGGACTCTCTGAGCTTCCTGGACTTGTATGTCTATTTGTATGAGTACTCTCTGATATAGAGACTACCCACACTGCTATTGAGGAACATCTCCTATACATGTAATCCCCTCCTGCCCTCTCTCCTGGGATTTCCTTTACCCCTATCTCCTTCTGGATGGTAGATCTTGTGCCTTCTGTAAGCCTCTGGATCATCTCCAGCTACGAGGAACTCCCCCTGTCATATAGTCCTGTCCAAGTGTTACTCAATAAAGCTTGTTATGTCTACTGTCAAAAAAAAAAAAGACATGGGTCTTACTATTTTGATACCTTTGTTTTTTTTCCCATTATATAGGACACTTTATTCAACAAGTACCTGTTTTTTTCCCCATTATATAGGACACCTTATTAACATGTGCCAGGAACAATACTAAACACAGAGTAATAAAAAGATAGTGAAGAAGGTGAAAAGAGATAAGACCTAAGAACAGAATGACTGGTTTAGAACTTTAAAATATAAATACCTTTAAAGTTTTTAAAGAACATCTAAGTTTTTAATCTACTTGGAATTTATTTTTATATGTCTTCTTATTTAACATACCTAAAAATAAAATATTTCACTGTCTTTACCAGAAAGCTACTACTTCCTGACCCTGCTAGTGGTATCATCATGTTTTCAGTCACCAAGACTTGAAATTGTGTCATCTACAACTCATCCTCATCCCTTGTCTCCCCCTGTAACATCACCACTACCATTGGGAATCAGTGGCCAAATCTATATCTCCTCCATGATGTGACTTTCAAGCTTTACTATTGCTCCCCCTACACAATGTGAATACTCCCACCAAAATAACCTACTACTTATCGTATGCAAAGCACAGTCCCTACATGACTGCTTTCACACCTTGGCTCATGTGTTTTCCTCTACCTGAACTAGTCTCTCTTACTATACCCCATCTCTTGTCAGAATTCTAGCTATCCATCAAAGCCTAGTTTATCCATCACCTCCATGAAACTTTCTCTGATCTCTAGGAATAAAAAGACCCCAAAACGTGAGATATCATAGCACTTCTTTTCATATTATTTATTTGTTTATGTTTATTTTGATCATTTCAAACTTAAAGTGTTGTTTTTTATTTTCTTTTCTATTTGTTGGCATTCTTTATATATTATGGAAATTAGCCTATGGATTGCAAATATTTTTATCTGTTAGAAATTTGTCTGATGACTTTGCTTACAGTGGCTTTTGCAATAAGAATTTTGTTGTTTTATGTATATAAATGTATCTTTTCTTTTGTGGCTTGGTATATGGTCCATAGTTAAAAAATGTTCTTGCCTCCAAACTTATAAAATAGTTTTACCGTTTTTTTTCTAATATTTTTACATTTAGATGTTTGGTACTTTTGGAATTCTGGCATGGATCCAAGTTTTGTTTCAGATGGCTACTTGATTGTCTTAACAAAATTTAATGAATAAAATCAACCTTTAGCATATATTAAATTCCTTATTTCATAGTGCTTTATATATCGTTTATGGTACTTAACAGCTGATTTGTGTTATAGTAATTTTTACAAATATGTGTGTGTGTGTGTGTGTGTGTGTGTGTGTATATCTCCTTTAAAAATAAGCACACATTCTTCTTATTTCATGAGTTCCCTCAGTGGGTACTTTCTGAACTTTGAATAGTAAAACTAAGACTTGTTCTTTTCTAGGTATTTGACGTCTGGGGCTGGCTACTAATCATAGTTTTTTAAGGAGTCAGTAAATCGTAACATTTATTTCCTATTGAGAGAAGCTTATTAAAAAACAAGCATACCCATTTTAACACTAAAACAGAAGAGTTTGCTGACAGCTTTACTTACAGTTAATGTAGGCCTATCTTTAACATTTCAGAGGACCTGACTGGGATACTGGATTGTATGATGAAGGGGGTGCAACAGTCAGAGAGCTGCTTACTGAGCTATATAGCAATGTTGGAGAAATCCGTCACTGGGGTCTGATCCGATACATCTCTGGAATCTTAAGGAAGAAGGTGGAAGCACTTGATGAGGTACTACAGATTCTTCTTAAACTTACACCAAATCTAAATGAGGACTTTTAAAAAAATTAGTTTCCATAAATGTTTTTTAAGCAACTATTGCCTTTAATCATTTGATATATTGTCTTTCCCATAGAAACTTTCTGATATTCAGTTAGCTTTTTGTTTGTGAATGTCGAATGTATAATACTGAAGCATATATAAACTATAGACTTATAGAGGTGTTGCAAACTACAAGAATTCTACAGTAGATCTTAAGAATGAATTTACACTAGGCTAAATGTACCTACCCCTTAGGAGATAATATACCTTATTGTTCATTCTTAGAAATCCCTTTTCTGATCTTCATAATATTTCCTGAAAAAGAGAGTTTAGTGTGTCATTAAGTTAAGGGGAAGCAAGGGCTTCTAGGCAGAAAAGAGTAATTTTCATGGAAATCTGAGGTGCTATGGGAAGGCTAATGCTATTATGCTGTCTCTCCTTAGGCCTGCACAGACCTTCTCTCCCATCAGAAACATTTGACAGTGGGATTCCCTCCAGAACCTCGAGAGAAGACTATCTCTAAGTGAGTATGGTTTCGACTGGTTTAATCAACCTTCTCTTAGTCTTTAAGGAGTTGTGTGAACTGCCCCCAATTCCCTTGCCCTAATTTGACAATGGATAATAATGCCCTACGTGTATGATCTTCTCAGCGTGAGAATATTGATAATAACAGGGCAGAGTAAACAAAAGAGGAAACTCACAGTGAGGAGTATTCAAATGTATTTTGCTTTTTTTTGTTTGATGGTTTTCTTGTTTTTGTTTATGTTTTCTCACTGAATTTCCCAAACCTCTCATTAAAACAAAAAGCAAAAGCTGGGCAACTGGAATTAGCACCCACAAAAAATTCAGCTATTATTTGGATTTTGTTCTAGGCCTCTCTCCTTGGCTTATAGACAGTTGTTTTACCCCTATGGCTCTTTATATTTCTTCCCCCTGTGTGTGTGTCTCTGTGTCCCAATTTCCCATTTATATAAAGACACCAGTCCTATGGGATTAGGGCCCACACAGTAGCCATCTCCAAATAAGGTCACACTTTGAGGTACTAGGGGTTAGGAATGTAACATATGAACTTTGAGGGGACATAATTTAACCCATAACACCTTGCTCCTGGCAAATAGAACCTTTTAACACAAATCAGATTTTGTGACTACAGTCATACCTTTGAGATATTGAGGTTTAGCTCCAGACCACCATAATAAAGCAAATGTCTCAATAAAGTGAGTCACACAAATTTTTTGATTCCTCAGTGCATATAAGAGTTATGTTTACATTATACTGTATTCTACTGAATATCCAATATCATTATGTCTAAAAAATGTACATAGCTTAATTTTAAAAACATCATTAACAAATTCTAACCATCATCTGAGCCTTTAGTGAGTCATAATCTTTTTTGCTGGTGGAGGGTCTTGCCTTAATGTTGGTAAAAATGCAGTATCTGTGAAGCGCGATACAATGAAGTGTAATAAAACAAGGTATGCCTGTACTGCAGGCAGTCCCTAAGAAGATAGTGTGGTCCATGCCCCATGCCCTAAGAGTGCTTAGTATCAACAGGAGAGTCAGAAGTGTGGAAGGAGGTTTCTGTACCTGTGTGTGTGTGCATGCATATAAACTGATGAAACTATAGAAGTCTATATAACTCTATAAGGTGTGATTGCAAAGTAATAAAATAGCTTCCAAAGGGCACAACTTAAATTTAGTTTATTACTTTCTAGCTATGATAGTTACTCATCAAATGTTAAGAATTACCCGTGAAAGACTAGTCTGGAAGGACACCATAGCATGAGTTTTTTAAAAATATTTTATTTATTTATTTTTAGAGAGGGAAGGGAGGGGAGAGAGAGAGACAGACAGACAGACAGACAGACAGACAGACATCAATGTGCAGTTGCTGGGGTTTATGGCCTACAACCCAGGCATGTGCCCTGGCTGGGACTCGAACCTGTGACACTTTGGTTCGCAGCCTGCACTCAATCCACTGAGCTATGCCAGCCAGGGCAGAATGAGTTTTAAATAAAATTTTCTAAAGGAAATTTAATCCAGGTTTAGATAGGTGAGAACAGAGCTCTCTTGAGTTGGTATGGGCCAGAGTGTTTGGGGAGGCAAAGAACTCTGAGGACTGAAAAAACCAGCATGCTACCAGCAGTGATGCAATATTGAGGGAGTGACTTGGACTTGGGAGGAGCTTTTTTTTTATATTCTCAATATATGTAGGCTTAAGTAGTTGCAGAATTTCGTGTTACTTTACTGTCGTCTTCCTCAGACCTCTACCCTATGAAGTGCTTACTCAGCTGATAGATGAAGCCAGTGAAGGGGATATAAGCGTTTCAATTCTGACACAGGTGAGTAGAATTATAAAGCCTAATCTGGTGATTGATATTTTAAGCTTGTTTTCAGTTGATCTGGCAATTGACCACAAAATTGACCTTGTGATGCCTGGGCCATAATTTTTGCCTATATCCATTCCCTGCACAGGAAATAATGGTATATCTAGCCATGTATATGCGAACTCAGCCTGGCCTTTTTGCTGAAATGTTTCGACTTCGAATTGGTCTGATCATACAAGTTATGGCAACAGAACTGGCCCAGTCCCTTCGATGCTCAGGTATTCAATTTAGTAACCATTTTAGGCAGAATTCACTTTTAATATGAGTCTGTTGAGTTTGGCATCAGAAGAAAAAGAAAACTAAAACATTTTTATCAGTAGCTCAATAATTGCATATAGCAAAGTGTTTCTAGGTTAGTGAACCTCTATACAAGTAAAGGGGCTGATATTAGAACAAATTTAATTAGTTCTGCAGCTTCAAAACTCCACTTCTTGGGGGCTCTGCACTCCCAATGACTACATTCCTCCTAATTCCTAGTGTATGTGGAACCTCAGTGTGAACGAGGTTCATTTTTCATTTATTAATTTATTTTTCACTATTGTTCAAGTACAGTTGTCTCCATTTTCCCCTAACCAATCCCTTCTGCCACAAGACTAGGTTTTTTATTTTATTTATTTTATTTATTTTTATTTTTATTATTATTTTTTTAATCATTGTTCAAATACACTTTTCTCCTTTTTACTCCCAATCCAGTCCCCCAAGACTAGGTTTTTTAGATTCTACATGTGACATCATATGGTATTTGTCTTACTCTTCATATGTGGAATCTAATGAATAAAATATAACTGACGAACAAAATAAAACCAAAGACATGGATACATGGAAGACACTGACAGATCTCAGAGGGCAGGGGGCGTGGGGACTGGAAGAAATTAGCTAAAGAACATGTGTGCATATATGCATAGCCCATGGACACAGACAAAAATGTGGTGAAGGCAGGGTTGGGGGGTTCTGGGTGGAGGGGGGCCAAGAGGGTGCAGTGGGGGACATCTGTAATAGTGTCAACAATTAAAACAAGACTGGGTTTAGTTCTGATTCAGTAAGTGAGTGCAGCTTCTGGACACCAGATTAAGTCACCACATCAATTTGATCATAGTGTCACTATTCTGTATAGTCAACATCAGGAATGAACAAAGGAAGGTAATGTTTCTGTTAATATTTATCTAACAAGACTCTCTTTGAAGCTGTTGAACAGAATTGTATAAAGTGTGAGGGAGGAAAGGGGACCCCCGTGGCATGACTATTTTTGCCATTGCTATTTGTTTTATTTCAACAAGAATGGCAAGAAATAGGGATTGCATACAAAAACAAAATCACAGTTGCTAAACTCAATGTTAACCTTTTTTTTCTCAGTTAAATTTCCCTAAAAGGATTTTAATTGAGCTGTTAACAAGTACATAATTTATCAGTTTGAGTGTAACCTAACTTACATGGATAATTTATATTTCAATAACCTTTAAAGGAAGAGAGGTAATGAGTATTTTATACCTACCATATGCCAGACACTTCTACTTTTTGCTTTATATTTACATACATTATCTCCTTTAATCCTGACAACAACCCTCTGGAGAAGGTATTTTTGTACCACTTCTGTCGATAAGGAAACAAACTCAGAAAGCTTAAATAACTAACTTACTGAAAATTATATAACTAGCAAATAGTAGAAATTGAGTCCAAGTCTGCCCAATTCCAAATGATTTCTAGTTTAGCACATTGATGCAGATAACATGTGTTATTACATACATATATGATGTATTGTCTAGCTATGGTATCAAGGGAGTTTTATGAGGGTCTGATTATTCAGTAATAAATCTCAATGAGGGATAAACCCCCAAACATTTTTCACTTTTCCATGAGTACCTGCTGTGGATCTTCTTTCCTGTGGATTCATCAAAACCATGCCTATTTATTCATTATAGGATAAAGTCAAGATTAATCCCTGAGTCTGATATTCAATATCCTCAACACTCTGGCCTCTACCTCTTACTTCAACAGTCCTTCCCACTAATTTAATCAACCCTCATTTGGCACTCAGCATGATTTTTTTATGTTGCTTACATGTCCAATCTCTCCCAAATAATTGGTCAGCCTTTCAAGGTCAAGTAGCATTTTAAGCAACTAACATTGCTTAAAATCATTACCTACATGTAGAAAACTCTTAGTAAGCTCTTAGTAAGTGCCTGATATTAATGAACAGGTTTAAGTTATCTTCTTAATATTCTTTATAATTTCATGGATTCATATCTATTCTCTTTTAAATCTCTGTATTTCCAGGCTGAGAAGTTTCAGTTATTTTAGTTCATCTGCATATATACAGTCACTGCCTTTCTCTGACTGGCTTCCAGTTCCATTGTTCTCCTTTCATTCTTCCCACCTTCAAATAAAGATCCTACTGAGTACCCTAATGGCACAGATGGGTGTGAAAAAGAAATCAGGGACCTGGTTAATCCATAAACTGGGTAGTCAGCCCTTAGTTTATTATAAATCTACTACAGTGTTAATACCTACACAGTATGATACCAGAAATGTTTTTTGTTATTTTATTCTTCCAATCAAGTGACTCAGCAACAAAGAAATATAGAAAAAGCAACAAAGAAATAGAGAAAAAGAGGGTGGGTGTGGCAGGCCAATTAGAAATATCTCTGTCCTGGCTGACAGTGACCAGAGGGGAGAGAAGAGGGAATTTCAGGGGAGAATGGGAAGGGTTTACAGGAAAAAATTTAAAGGACACATGGACAAATACTAGGGGTGGTGGAAATGGGAGAGAGATGGGGAGGTGGGCTGGGATGGGAGTAAAAGGCAGAAAACTGTACTTGAACAATGATTAAAATACAATTTAAAAAATCAAAAATAAAATAAAAAAGAAATATCTCTGTCCTAACATTTCTGCTGACTAGCTGAGGAAGCCACAGACAGCCTGATGAATCTCAGTCCTTCAGCCATGAAGAACCTCCTGCATCATATTCTCAGTGGCCAGGAGTTTGGAGTAGAACGAAGCGGTAAGGTTGAATAACTGCATTTCTATTTCAGAGTGTTTGTTTTAAGTATCTCATGGATTTTACAATGTTTTTCTTTTATGAGAGGAACCTTATTCTTCCAGATAAATAGAACCCCAATATATGAAACACTTAAAAGCAGCCCTCTGGAACAAGATTTGGAAACCACTGTATGTCTCATTTTTTTGCCTTAAATGATAATATCAACTAAATAGATTACTATCATGTTTTGTTTTGAACTGTAAATTACCATAAATTGAAGTCTCTATTTTCAGACAACAAACAACTCATGTAATCTACAACTTCCTTGTATTCCAGTTGGAAGGAATTCAGTAGCACGTACAGTGTTGATGTGTGCACATGCACATGAGTGTGTGTAGCTGCTACAGTACATCTGATGTAATCTTTTACCTTTAAAGATTTTATTTATTTACTTTCAGAAAGAGGGGAGGGAAGGAGAGAGAAAGGGAGAGAAACATTTGTGTGTGGTTGCCTCTCGCATGCCCCCTACTGGGGACCTGGCCCACAACTGGGACATATGCCCTGACAGGGAGTTGAACCAGCGACTCTTTGGTTTGCAGGCTGGCACTCAATCTACTGAGCCACACCAGCCAGGGCTATTGTTTCACCTTTAAATTAAAGTACATCTAGGGGTCCATCACAAATGAATCTTTTATCTGCACTTGGTGGTTTGGCAGTGGTGTTTGGCGTCGAGTACCTAAAACATCAGGACAATGAAAAAGGTTATCTTCCATGCTCAACTTTTAGGCTTAGGATAAGTAAATATATAATGTCACATAGATGGATTCCAGAATTTAGAATGGTAAAAGAAAAGTTTAAAGCAGTGCCCATCAAACCTTACTGTGCACCTGGGAATCTTGCTAAAATGCAGACTTTGATTCTGAATCAAAGGTCAGGAGTGAGGCCTAAGATTCTATTAAGAAGCTCCTACGTGATGCTGATGCTGCTGGTCCATAGACCACACTTAGAATAACAATGTTATAGTTGTTTTTAATTAACGTAAAAGGAGGACGTGTATCCTAAGTCTTTTAAATGCGATGGAGAAAAAAAATTGAACCTGATTATGTTTTCTGTCTTTAATCTGTCATGCCATATAGTGCGTCGCAGTGATTCAAATATCAGCCCTGCCATTTCTATCCATGAGGTTGGTGCTGTTGGAGCAACCAAAACTGAACGAAGTGGAATCATGCAGTTAAAAAGTGAGATCAAGCAGCAGGTAAGATACTTTTTGGGAGATTAGCTGAGTTCTTATCATCTTTGAGAACATTCTCTTGGAATCAGGCTTTGCTGGGATTATGTATTTTATTTCATATTGTGAGTTTAATTTGAGCCACATGTTTTTCAAGTGGAATTTGATAGACTGTCTATGTAAACTGAGAGTCAGGTGGAACAATTAAGGATCCTTTAACATAGTTTAACCTGCCTTTAATTCTATATAACATACATGAGGTCATGGCCCTTTTTTTTTTAAAGATTTTATTTATTTCTTTTTAGAGAGGGAAGGGAGGGAGAAAGAGAGAGAGAGAGAGAGAGAAACATGAATGTGCGGTTGCTGGGGGCCGTGGCCTGCAACTCAGGTATGTGCCCTGACTGGGAATCAAACCTGCGACACTTTGGTTCGCAGCCCGCGCTCAATCCACTGAGCTGTGCCAGCCAGGGCTTAAAGATTTTATTTATTTATTTTTAGAGAAGGAAGGGAGGGAGGAAGAGAGAGAGAAACATCAGTGTGTGGTTGCTGGGAGCTGTGGCCTGCAACCCAGGCATGTGCCCTAACTGGGAATCAAACCTACGATGCTTTGGTTCGCAGCCCGTGCTCAATCCATTGAGCTATGCCAGTCAGGGCTAGGTCATGGCCTTTTAATAAATAAGATAATGAGCCACAGAGTAGCTTGTTTGATTCTCTTTTATAGCAATTGTTTTGTAGATAGCTTTCCTTTTCCTGGACCAAACTATTTTGATAATTCTAGGAGAAAACTAATTTTTTTTTCTGATAGCAAGATATTAAAACTTGGAGTTCCTCTTGTTAGGATCGACATGTAATTTTGGAATTAATTTTCTTTATGAAACTAGACTTGGATTTCTTCCATTTAAAAAAGATATGAGGGTGGAAGGTGGGGGTGGGTAGGGTGGGAGAAAGTGGTGGTGGGCAAATGGATACAACTGTATTCCAACATGAATAAAAAATTAAAAAAAAAAAACGATACTAGAGAGAACACCATATTAGGTGAGGGCCTTTTAAAAAAATCTGTTTTCAGGCATTGTCCTGAAATTAGATTTTTATCATTGCTTTGATAGAAGTATATTAAAGGTGTTGTGGATACATATAGAGGAAAAACATTTAAATTAGTCTGGGAGTTGGTGGGAGTCAACAAACATCATATTGTAGCCTCTTACTTTTTCCTGCAGATGAGAATAGATGAGTTATTGTATTATACAAAGAAATCATTAACACCTGGCTGGCGTAGCTCAGTGGATTGAGCGCGGGCTGCGAACCAAAGTGTCTCAGGTTCAATTCCTAGTCAGGGCACATGTCTGGGTTGCAGGCCACAGCCCCCAGCAACCACACATTGATGTTTCTCTCTCTCTCTTTCTCCCTCCCTTCCCTCTCTAAAAATAAATAAATAAAATCTTTAAAAAAAAAGAAAAGAAAGAAATCATTAACACAAAGTTCCAAAGCTTCTTTTTAAACTCTGGGAAATCATGTGATTTTAAAGTTGCAGTTGAGAAGGTATTTGATCTCTCGTAGTAGTACTTTGTTATGAAAATCATAAATATACTCCTCCAGCTTTAAAAATAAATTTATGCTAGCTTGCACAATTTAAACTCATATAGAAAAAGATAGGCAACATAGAACTTTTTTTAGGAGTCAGAAACCACTTAGAAAAAGAATGAGCCAATGCTTGAAGTGTAATTTAAAGTAAATTTAATTTGAGTATACTTATCGGATACCCTTTCTCATTTACATTATGCAAGAGTAAGAACACTTATCAGATAGTCTTTCACATTTATATTACACAATGGAATAAGAATGGACCTTGTGATAGAAAAATGTTCACTTTACAGGTTTTGTCCCTGGTAATTTAGATAATCTGAACATTTTCCTATCTGAAAAGTGAAAGCATTTCATGCTGAAGAGTTAAGCTGACATTGTTGGTAAACAATTCTTGTTTTCATTGAAAGTGATTTGCTAAACATTTTATAGTTGTTTATAGTCACACAGTATTACTTACAAGTCCATTATATATTTAAAACTTGAAGTCCATGTTCCCAGATAGGTTAATAAGATATTAAGGACTTAACCTACCCAGCCATATCATTTAATTCTTCTTCTTTTTTTTACGCATTCACTACCTATAGCACTTCAAGAAAGCCAAAATCTTTAGGACTGTAATTTAGACTATGGAGAGCCATAAATTTTTATTACTTTCTTTGTTATATATATATTTTAAATTTTTCTTATCCTTACCTGAGGATATGCTTATTGATACTAGAGAAAGGGGAAGGGAGGGAGGGAGACGAAGAGAAACATTGATGTGCGAGAGAAACAGTGATTGGTTGCCTCTGCCATGTACCCTGATGGGAGTTGAGTGGGGATCAAACCCCAACCTAGACATGTGCCCTTACTGGGAATCCAACCCAAAACTTCTCGGTTTACTAGACAATGTTCCAACCGAGACATACTGGCCAGGGTTATTACTTTCTTATTTCTAAATATTGATTTCCATCATCACCTCCTTGTCTTGCATTTTGTATTGTTCTAAACCCTTTTCTCTACCACTCACCAGTGCCCTCTTTTCTTATGGAAAAATATTTTTCAGATACTTTTGTTTTACTTTTTACCATGACTTCTACAGTAATGTGATTTCATGAGCTTTTTAAATAACATGCTGGCTAATTACTTGAATAATCTGTAATTTTACTCTACTAATAAAACTTAAAAATGCAGTAATGGTTGCTTTGCTTCATGCCTTTTAAAATTGTATTTTCTCAATTTTTTTTTGTAGTCCAATGGTGGTCACACCTTGGGTGGAGATTTGATGTCACCGACTTTTTTGGTAACTGTTATTATCTTGTATTATATGCCATTCACAAGTGCTTTGAATATACTATTATATAAATTATGACATATAGTGATTGATTGAAAAGAAAAACAAAATGAATTCAAAACTAAAATATCAATCAGTTTTATGTATGTATGTGAAATCTTTCAGTTTCCCAAAAAGGCAAGAAAGGGGGTTCAACTCCAGCCTTTTTTCCATTTCAGAAAACAAAATTCAATTTTATAAGCATTTTTTTATGTATTCTTTAATTAATAATTAATTGCATGCCTACTATGCACCAGGCATTGTACTAGATAGCATCAGCATCCCCTGGGAACTTGTTAGAAATGTAAAATCATGGCCCCCACCCTAAGCCTACTGAATCAGAAAGTCTGGGAAGGGGGAGGCCCTGTAGTCTACATTTTAATAATCTTTCTAGGTGATTCTGATGCAATTTCAATTTTGAAAACCACTGGATGAGCTATTCTGATTATTGATTCATTTAGTAAATATTAAATGAGTGCCAAATTCATTCCAGGCACTGGAAATAGAATGGAAAAAAAAACCCAGATGTGGTCCTTGCTCTCATGAAGGCTAAAAGTTTGGAAAACTGATCTTTGATTAAATTTCCTTGGTTTAAATCAATGATTCATACTGGCCTATAATTTCAGATCTCTTAGGCTGAAGAGATTAAGGCCAGATGACAAGCAAACAAAAAATGGAAAAACTATTGGAAACAATATTGATATTTCTATTGACTTTAACCAAATACCCTATAATGAATTAGTATATAGTAAGATTTAGCCAATTCTGTCATATGTACATTAATAACAGAGGACAGAGGCATACAGAAGTTAATCTGAAAACTCAAAACTATTGCTGTTTGGTTTCAGAAAATAGTCTGAATACTCTTTGTGGGTTGACCTGTAAAGGATCAGCAGCCTAGCATCCTGATGACAGAGACAAAGACAATGAAGATAAATCAAATGGCAGTTCATCTACTTAGTACATTATTAGTGTGATAGTCATTGGCCAATACAAATGTCTTGGAGTACTTTTCTGTTTTAGTTAGTGATGGTGGGTAATATAAGCATTTGGCCCAAATTAAAATGTGAGGAGTGTTTTTCCCAGTAAATGTTTCTATTATCTTTTTTCTATTCTATGTTTATTTCTGAATCTAAACTCCCAAAGAACCACTTTCCCCAATGTATTTCATTCTTTACTTACCGTTTTTCAAAGTTCATTATGTTGCCGCATGTATCAGTACTTCATTCTTTTGTGTTGATGAATAAAATGTCAGTACATGCCATATTTTATTTATCCATTCATCAGTTGATGGATGACTGGATTGTTTCTGTTTTTTTGGGTATTAGGAGTAATGCTGCTATAAACCTTTCTGTACAAATTTTTATGTGGACATATGCTTTCATTTCCCTTGCATATATACCTAAGAGTGGAAGTTCTGGGTTATTTGGTAACTATGTTTAGCATTCTGAGGAACTGCCAAAATGTTTTCCAAGGTAGCTGCACCATTTTACATTCCCACCAGTATTGTTGGTGAGTTCCAATTTCCTCACATCCTCACCAGCCCTTGTTATTTTTTGTCTTTCTGATTCTAGCCATTTTAGTGGGTATGCAGTAGTATCTCATTGTGGTTTTGATTTGCATTTCCCTAATGGTTTATGGTATTCAGCATCTATTCATGTACCTATTAGTCATTTATCTTCTTTGGAGAAATTTCTATTCAGATCCTTTTCCCATTTGTTAATTGGGCTGCTTGTCTTTTTATTGTTGAGTTGTAAAGGTTCTTTAATATTCTGGGTACATATTCCCTATCAGATATGAGAAGGGAAAACATTTTCTTTCATTCTGTGGGTTGCCTTTTCACTTTCATTTCTTCCCCCGCCCCTAGAGAACATCAACCACTGAATTATTTTCTTGATAGTGTCATTTGAAAAACAGAAGTTTTTAATTTTGATGAAGTCCAATTTATGAATTTTTTCTTTTAGTGTCATATCCAAGAAAGCATTCCAAACCCCAGGCCACAAAGATTTATTCCTATTTTTTTTTGTTTTTTAAAGTTTTATAGTTTTAGCTCTTAAAATTAGGTTTGTGAATCATCACCCCCAGGTTTGACAATTCACTAGGAGGACTTACAGGACTAAGCATATAGTCATACTCATAGCTATGATTTATTACAGCAAAAAGATGCAAAGCAAAATCAGCAAAGCGAAAGGGTGAATTGGATAAAGTCCAGGGAAAACAGGCACCAACTTCCAGAGTACTCTTTCAGTAGATTCATGCAGGATGTGCTTAATTCCCCCAGCAAATGAGTTGTGACATGTATACAATATTGCCAACTAGGGAAGCTCATTTAAAGATGCAGCACCCAGAATTTTTACTGGGGGCTGCTCACATAAACAGCCTCTGCCTGGCACATACCAAAACTCCAGACTCCCAGAGGGAAAGCAAGTGTTCAACAGAAACCATAGTGTTTGCACAAACAGTTTAGGCACAATCAGCCACTGTTATAAGTTCTGGGAATGGTAGGAACCCTCCCAAAATGCAGGTTTCCAAATGCCAGTCAGGGGCCAATCATGTAAGCAGGCCTTTTTCAAAAATAGCACTTTTGGCCTGCTATATTAACTACTTTCTGCACAATAACCCATCTTGACTGAAATTTTTGTGCACGGCGTGAGGTAGGGGGGGTCCAACTTCATTCTTCTGTATGTGAATATCCAATTTTTCTAGCACTGTTACTTGAAAAAAATCATCTTTACCCCCATTAAATTTTCTTGGCACCCTAGTTTAAAATTAATTGACAAAAATATAATGGTTTGTTTCAGAATTCCTAACTAAATTTTATTGATCTACATCCCTAGCCTATGCTTGTAAGACACAATCTTGATTATTATAGATTTGTAGTAACATTTGAAATTGGCAGTTGTGAATCAACTTGAGTCTACCTTTTTAACATTCAGTTACTATCATGGCCCCTTGAATTTCCTTTTGAATTTCAGGATAAACTCATCAGTTTCTGCAGATAACCCAGTTGGGATTTTGATAAGGATTGCTTTAAAACTGTAGATCAATTTTTAAAAAGATTTTATTTATTTTTAGAGAGAGGGGGAGGGAGGGAGAAAGAAGAGAGGAATATCAATGTGAGAAACATTGATAAGTTGCTATAAGTCTTGTTACATTGTATTTTCATTTTCATTCATCTTAGAGGATTTTCTAATTTTCCTTGTGATTTCTTTCTTAACCCACTGGTTATTTAGGGGTGTGTTTTCTAATTTCCACATATTTATAAATTTCCTTCCCAAATTTCTTTCCAAAATTTTCTTCTGTTTTTGGTTTCTAATTTGATGTCATTGTAGTCAGGGAACATACCTTCTCTGGTTTCAATTCTTTTAAATTGATTGAGGCTGTGTTACAGTTCATGATTTCAACAAACTAAGCTGTAGACCAGCAACAAGTTTCATAGATAACCAGGGAAAGAGACAGCTGACAACCTTTCATGTGTTAATATTTTTATGGCTCTTCTTACGAATCACTAGATTGCTTTCTAAAAGGTTTACATTGCTAGCTCCTCATAAGTCTACTAGCTTCACTGTAACCTCTTTATCTTGGGTATTACATTTAATGTGTGGTTTATAATTCTGCAGAGTGTTTCTTATTCACTATGCTGTAATACTTTATCAGAGGAACAAAGATAACTTTTGATTTGTATTCTTTCCTCCCAAGTCACCTGGAAATTCTATGACTCCAAGTAGTGGGTTTTTTACTAGTGCACATGACCTACAGACACTTAAAGATAATCGTCAAGGTCAATGGCAACGCCGAAGAAGGTTGGATGGAGCACTGAACAGAGTCCCAATTGGATTTTATCAAAAAGTATGGAAAGTTTTGCAGAAGGTGAGCATAACACATTGCAGATGCCTCTTTGTTCTTCCCCTTGAATTCCTCTTTCTCCTTGGCTCATATGATATGACTGTGACATCACTGCAATTATAGAGAAGTCAAATGCTAGAAGACAAAATCTAGAAGAAAACAAAAATCAGAGTGGATTTGTTATTTTTGATATTATTGATAATGTACTGTCTTTCCACTGTTGTTGCTATGGTGTTGTTTGCAAATTAGATTTCAGAAATCATTTCTCCACCTTTGGCCACAGCTGGACATTGTGATACAGTTGAATTTGGTGATAAATACCTTACTCTCTTTATAGCTATTGTACAGTGGAAATGTTATTTGTAGCAATATGCTGTTAATAATGAAATGTCACAATAGTAAAATAACTGCAGCATGTAAGGAGTTTGCATGAGAAGCTCTCACCTGTGTTTTTCTTGGAGGGAAACTACTAAATAAATGCAAATTCATAGTAATATTAATAGCCCAAAGACTTTGTTGGTGTGACCAATCTTGTTTTTCTTTCAAAGGCTTAGTTTGCCAAAGACATTTAAGGATACATCATACCATTGTTTGTGACAGATTTAGAGGGCCAAGAAGACCGCTGTACTCATTTAGAAATCTCATTCATAGTCTCTCAGGGGCTACTTTTTGCTTCATAGCCTTTGGCAAGGACCGGAAGAATACTTCATCCAAGACTTAAGTTATGTCTCCCCTTAGCACATTAATATTCTTCTGTAGACAGAATCATGTGATCTTTTGGAAAGGTGGAAGTTGATTCCTTAGACTATCATCAGTTCTGGCAATCTTCCTTTCACACAGTACCTAAAACTTACTTTCCTTTTCTCTAACTTCCATAGCACAGTGGTGATAGATATGTACTTTACCTCTTCAGTTATACCTGGGTTATAGAAATTCAATTTCACAGATGTATGGGTAGGTACTGCTTTACTCCAAATACCATAGAAGGTACCTCTTCTTGTCACTAAGGAGTTTAGTCCGTAGTTATCTTAATTAGCCGCTATAATGAAAGTCCAAAATGTGTTATGATAAAGGTGTAAAACCATGAGGCTGTGAAAATCTAAGAGAAGGAAAATTTAAGTCTGGCTAGGAAGATTGGGTATTTTTTTCCAGGAATAAAATTTATTCTGAATGAAAGTCTTCACCACATCCACAATTTTTGCCCTAGCATGAGAGTAACAAAGATTTTTTTATTGTTGTTCAAGTACAGTTTTCTGCCTTTTCCCCCCACCCCAGCCCAATACCCCAGCCCTCCCCACCTCCCTACCATTTCTACCCCTCCACCATTATTGTCCATGTGTCCTTTACAGAGAAGATTGGGTATTTTTGTGGCAAAACAAAACCTGGACTTGGAATCCTGACCTAAAAGGAAAAACAAATGCCCTTTGGTTTTTTATTCCATTCTTTTCAGAGCATGACTATAACATAATCAGTGTGCATATACTTTTGAAGGCTACAAAGTAATTGTACAAAGACTGTTTTTGGCTTATGGAATACAGGATAGAAGTGTCTGGTAGAGTCAGTAAATCTATTGGATTGAAATCTTCATCTGTGGTTTAGTATATGTCTTGGTTTATTTAAAATCTAAAATGGCAAGTCATTAAATCTCATGACTTCTTAGTAATTGAGCTAATGGCAAAGGGAAAGATAAAATATTCCTTCATTCATATAGCATTTCTTGAACATCTGTTGTGCACTAGGTACAGCAAAGAACAAAACAGACAACAATCTCTGACCTTATGGAATTTACATTCTCCTAGGGGGAGACAAACATTAAATAACAAACACAATAAATAAGTAAGTTGTAAAGTGTTAAAAGATGACAAGTACTACAGAAGAAGTAGAGCAGGGTGAGAGAGTCAGGAGCGCTGATGGGGGGTGTTTCACTAGAAAATGTAGTTAACTGTACATGTCCATTAAATACATATCTTGAGTTTTTTTTCTTCAGCCTAAAAACCTTTGTGAAAGCTTATTTGTGTTGGCTGTGGGACTGAGCATGGTATTCTCCCATGTAGTCTCTGAATCTTTGGGGCCTGGCTGTCTCCAAAGGTAGACCTTCCCTATCCCGTCCACTCTCCTACGCAGAGGATGAATCTTCGGTCTCCTGTAGTCTAACCCTGCTTCTTGCCATGTGGTAATCACAACCCCTTGACAAGGACACTTGAGCTGCAGGGCCTTTCCCTGGCCTGTGATTGCTCAGTGTCTACTCTGTGAAGCACACTTGCAAATACTAAGTGTCCCCTTACAGCCTCCCAGTTGTCAGCATATCTTACTGACAACATGTTTTTGCTGTTTTGCAGTGTCATGGACTTTCTGTGGAAGGTTTTGTTCTTCCCTCTTCAACCACTAGAGAGGTAAGATTCAGTGTGTTTTACATTTATGTGATTGATAGCTTGTCTGGCTAAAGTATTTCAGTGATCACTTTTCAGAAAAACAGATCTATTCTTTTATAAATCAACTGAACAGGAAATGCATTTGAAGAGAGAAGAGAATGTTGTTTTTTTTTTAAATAGAACAGGTATATTAGGGAACAATTAGGTATCACATTAGTTATAGAAGGACAGTTTCTTTTAATGATCAAGTTGGGCTAATTCATGTGAGTGTGGCCTGAGCTGGAGAAGTCAGACAAGATCAGAACCTAACAATGAATGACTGCTCATGTCCCCATCCTTCTCATCCCCACCCTTCTCTAGCAGGATGCTTGTAGATCATAAACCACCAGTTCTTAGCTCTTTGTCATAGTAACTTGAGCTCTCATCTCCAATTTAGTGTATTATAGTCTCCAGGGATGGGGTCTGAGCATCTGTACTTTAAAAAAAAGTCCTTAGGATGACTCGTGGTTGGAAAACATGGCTGTGAACCACAGACATACATTATCGGGTGCTTTAATATTTCACTTTTTGCCCAATCATACAGAAATTTTAAAGAAATAGCTTGTATGCAAAATCAGCACAGGAGTTAGAATTAGCAAGCTAGAAGTAGTAAGATTGGACAGTAAATTTTCCAAAACACTGGAATGGTTACAGATAATGTCTGGAGAGGCAGATACAGAAAGCTGCTGCTATGCTTCAAAGCCTCACTCTTGCCTATAGGTCTTTCCTGTAATAAAGAACACCATGCACCTATTTGTCCTTTCTCTGCCTTTAAGCAATATTGAAATGTTAATAGAATTAATAATAATACACAACTGAATGGTACCTTTAAGAGTCTTCAAAGCACCTTTACACATTATTTAATTTGATCTTCAACACAACTACATGAGATAGGTAAGGAAGGGATTGTAGTTCCTGATTTAAAATAAGGGGAAGGGTTTACAGGAAGAAGTATAAAGGACACATGGATAAAAACTAGGGGCGGGTGGAAATGGGAGGGAGGAGGGGAGGGCTGGGTGGGTGGGTTGGGATGGGAGTAAACGATAGAAAATTATACTGCAACAACAACTAAAATAAAATATATATATATAAATAAGGAAACAAATTTACATGAATTATGCAAGGTTACAGAGCTAGTAATTGATGGAGAGAAAACTTGAACCCAGGTTTTGAAATTCTAAATGTACATTGCCACCCTAAACTGTATAGTCAATACAGTTTTGCCAGAAATGATTCTGCAATTCCTTTCATCCTAAAATTACTTTAATGTTTCATGCTCATTTTAACCTAACAGTATATTAATGTTTTACATACCTCTAATCATCATGTATATATGATTTTAAGTTCTTCTTAGATTTTTCCTTTGTCAACAGTCATCATATTTATTCTTTTAAATGACTCTATAAAAACTCTTGAAGTTGCTATACCATAATATGCCATTATTTACAGAGCCATTTCCATGTTAGGTTACTTCTAGTTTTGAACTTATGATTAATGCTGCTATAAACACTGTTGTACCTAAGGGTTTTTTTTCCCTCTTTGAATTATTTTGTTAGGATGAACTCCCAGAAATAGGATTTTGGGTTAGAGGGCACTGACACTTTTACAACGCATCAGGCAATGTCAGATTGCCTTCCAAAAGTGGGGGACCAATGTACTCAATCACTTTAGAGGATGTTGAAGCAGTGCTCTTGGCTACAGTGTTTTTACTGCCTTTCAGAATAGGTGATTGGTGTTTTCTGATGATGGTTTCTTCAGAAGTGGTTTTCTTTTTCTCTATCACAGATGACTCCAGGAGAGATTAAATTCTCTGTTCACGTGGAGTCTGTCCTAAATCGTGTACCTCAGCCAGAATACCGGCAACTCCTGGTTGAAGCCATCCTTGTCCTCACCATGATGGCAGATATTGAAATTCAAAGTATCGGAAGCATCATTGCTGTGGAAAAAATAGTTCATATTGCCAATGACTTGTTCCTTCAAGAACAGGTAGGCAAACTTGTTGTTTCCTCAAAGGGGAATGTCTGGCACTCACCTGACTACATTCAGAACTGTTCATGAAGCCAAGGTCACTTTCTTGCGCCTTCTTCCTCATAGCTCTTTTCTGGGCCTCTGGTGTAGTGGCTCAGAGCTGATTGCAAAGGAAGTAGGCTATGAGGTGACCTGCCTTTCACCATGGGTTTTGTGGCTGGGTTAGATCGTAAAGCTGCCTGGAACTCAGGAAGCTTTTATGCTTTCCCTCATATTTCAAACTTCTTATCATACTACTTTCAGTTGTGATAAGGACTTAATAAGAGACTAATAATGGATGTCATATCCTTCCTGACCATTAAGGAGAAGAGATTTCATTTTAGTTTTGGTTTCATTTTGCTTTTGCTGTTTACCTATAGGAAAATATTAAAGTGAACCTTTTTTAATTCTACATTTGTCTTACTTTCTTAATAAATTTTCTTCCAGGAAATTAACCATATATTTTTAAATGTAAACTATTTATTGAAAGCTTTGCACATGTGTTCTAGATTAGGGGTAGTAACACATAAGGTGAAGGACATGCACTATTGTCAATAGGAAAATCTCCAAAATGTGTAATAGGTGTTTCATTCCATTAGGCACTGTGGGAGAATGCAGAAGAAATGAAAAGTATCCAAGATTTTCTAGGACAGTCCTAATTTTAAATATTCTGGATTGAAGTTTATGTATCAGAAAATGTAATGATTCCTTTTAAACATAGACTCTAGCTTGGAAAGCTTGTGGTCTATTTAAATTAAGTCAACTTAGAAAGAAATAATGATCACATGCAAGATATATAAAATAATACAGAAATGAAATCAGTAGGAATAGATTGAGACCAAAGTCCTTCTAGGGTGATTTGTAAGTACTAACATTTGAATTTTAATAGACACAATTCATTTAACTAACAATTATATTTATCTTTAAAAAGTTCTAAGCAATTAATACTTTAAACAGAATTCCATATGGTTTTTGGATCTAGTGAAATATGCATGTATACAATCTCATATTCACTGCTTGGTGTATAACCTCGATCCTTTCTTGGCTAAGCAGCCTAAGATCCAACTAGTTGGTGATGGGGAGGAGGCTTTGAGCTATCCTAATCAGGACTTGAATTAGTAGGATTAGTAATTTTTCCTTTCCTCTGTGTCCTCCCACCCTTAAAAACCAAACAGAAAGCCCTCGGCGCAGATGATACCATGTTGGCAAAGGATCCTGCATCTGGCATCTGTACTCTTCTATATGACAGTGCACCCAGTGGCAGGTTTGGCACCATGACCTACCTCTCCAAGGCAGCCGCCACCTACGTGCAGGAGTTCCTGCCCCACAGCATCTGTGCCATGCAATGAGGCCTTTGGGCCCTGGCTACTAGGAGCCTTTTGACAGCTGGTTCCTGCCTCGGTTGATTGTGCATGGAACTGAAATGAGATGGCCTGATCACTCCCACCCTGCCCCCCTTCCAACTCGTCACTCCCAAGAAGAGAGAACTTCTCTGAGAAACTAACTGCTTTAGAAGAAGTGAACCCTTGCTCACTCAGGCTCTTCATTGTGGGCCTTCATTCTTTCATGTTTCACTCAAGTTTGCATGTGTTTTTATTGCCTAGACCTGTTACACATTCAGTTTTCTAACTCCTATTTATGGAGCAGGTATTAATATTAACTTATTCTTCAAGTTTGGGTTTTCTTATGTGTGGTTTCCTTACGTGAATGAGTGGTGGGTGCTTTGGGTGCTCCAAGTGAGTGAAACCTTAAAATATTGAACTTTATGCTTCTATGAATTGCAAATATCTATCCTAAGTGCCTTTTCTTGGAAAAAGAGAGTAGCGGATTATACTTTCCTTCTTTACTCACATGTTGCCTCGCACTGAGTGAAAAGCTTCCTATGCAGAATTAATTGTTTCTGCTTTTGCCTTTTCTGTATCTGCACACATAATTTCTACTCAACCTCTGGTGAAATATCAAAAAAAATGCAAGTCCAGTGTGTATAGTTCAGGAATTGTGAATTAATATTTAAAATCACATTTTATGAAGATCTCTGGGACTCAGAGATGGATTTGTAGCAGAATAACCCAGAGAAATGAAGCCAGGAACACAATTGCAGAGATAAAGGGGGCAGAAGAGAAGATGCCTGCGTAGTGTATTATCCCTAGGGAGCCACAAAGAGAATCAGAGGTGCCCTGAAGAGAGCCTTGTGTACCTAATCCTGGCCTCTGAAGGGTGGGCTGGCACAAAACAGAGACTAATTGAAGCCTCTGTCTTTGGCAAACAAGAATCCAGCACTCCAATCTATGGATGGTTTCCTGAGCACTCCACAGGAGGCTACAGTGTTCTTAGGAGGCTCCTGGTGTTCATTCACCTGATCTCCGTCTCACCCCACCCACCTGCTTTCTACAGCATCCACCCCACCCCCAATTCCCTGCCCTCCCATCTATTCTTAAACTTTTTCACTTACATTCTCACCTCCTGATTCTAGTGTTGGTGTATATCTTGCTATCTGTGAGCATATATTTGTTTCTTGGACACACCTGCATTTGTGTGTGTCTAAGCACACATGGGAAGTTTTCTGAATATAAGCACCTTTATGTGCCTGTACATCTGTATCTATATTTGACAGACTAAGTACATATGTAAATATGAATGTTGCTTGTTTTGGGGGGTTTGAGAGTGACTATGGCCTCAGACTGACACAGGAAAGGTAGTGGAAGAAATTGTGAAGTCCTCTTCCCGGGTCCTGTGTTTAGGTAGCCTTGTTTGAAGATTGTTTCTTCTAACTTTCTGTGTTAGTTGGGGCTGCTACACAACAAAAACCATAGGTGGGTTAAACAACAAACATTTATTTCCCACAGTTCTGGAGACTGAGAGGTCCAAAGTCAAGGTACCAGCAGGTTCAGTGTCTAGTGAGGGTGTGCTTCCTGGTTTGCAGATAACTGCCTTCTTGCTGTGTCTTCACATAGTGCAGAGACAGAGCTGTGGTCTCCTTCTCTTCTTATAAGGATATTGATCCTGTCATGGAGACTCCACACTCATGACTTCATCTAATCCTGATTAGCTCTGAAAAAGGCCCCACCCTTCAACTACCAGGACATTAGGGCTTAAAGGTTCCACATAAGAATTTTGGAGGGACACATTTAGCCCATAGCACTTTACGTGGAAACGCTCTACTAATTTTTCTGTTTGCACTCAGAAAACTTCCTACTCCAATCCCTTCTTTTCCTTCAGATTTTTTGAGGTGTTTCTCCAACTGAAACACCTGGGGATGGAGATGGGGGACTCTCTAAATAATTCCTATAGAACCAGTGACAATGTTATGAGTACACGTGAATAAGTGAGCAGAGTAGAGGGATAGAAAATGGATAGGAGCAAAGAGATTGGCCGGTCTTCTCAGTATCTCCCTAAGAGCAAATGGAAACTCAAAGTAAGTAGCTTCCTGCTTACATGAATTTCCCGTCACTTACAAGGTAATTTACAACCTGTCCTGAAAATGTGTTTTGTTTTCACTAGCTGCAAGTATACCCCACCAGGGGGAGTCAGTGCATCTGCTGGTGAAAACCACCACGCCCTCGCACACTCATCTGCCTAATCTGACACCCACGGCTGCATTTCTCTGGGTTTACTCAGCTGTCTAGCCAGCACTCCGCTGCCCTCTATCACTGTGCTTCACTTTTAAATCAACTCTTTAGAAAACTCGATTTGTATTTTACTCATTTTAAACATGTGAGACTAAAAGACATGTTGGGTTTTAAAAAGTACTTGTTTTCAAAATAGAATAAAAATAGAATTTCCAATTAAATCATGTCTGGTGCCAATGTGTAAAACGTAATATGTATTTTTTGTGATTGGGGTTTATTTCATGGTTCTTATTTTAGGTACTCTAATTATACAGAACGTTCAAAGCGCATTAATTGGGTCAAAGCAGAATAATATAAATATATATAAAAGCATGTATTATACATTATATAACATTATATATGTAAAGAAATGCAGTTTTACCATTCAATAAATATATTGGGTTTATTGATGTCTTTAGGAAACCTGTTCTGATTAATGAATAAGACTGATTTTTACTCAGCATTAACAGTTGTGTGCAAATGATGCTTCTGCTCTACTGGAAGGTACTAAGGACAATTTGTTCTCTTAAGTATTATAAATATCCGGCAGAATCTTGTTTATACTATGCATTAGCATTTTGTGTGACAAAAGAGGGTTTACCCAGCAAGGATGGACAAGTTGCTACAGTCCCATCCTGTTTAATTAGGTTTTACTACAATACATTGTGGAATTTTTATGCAGCTGGTGTGGTAAAAATTGTTTTTAGCCACAGCTCACAAAACCTTTACCATCCTTTTTTTTTTTAAGATTTTGTTTATTTTCAGAGAGAGGGGAAGGGAGGGAGAAAGGAAGAGAAACATCAATGTGTGGTTGCCACTCACATGGCCCCTTACTGGGGACCTGGCCTGTAACAGGCATGTGCCCTGACTGGGAATAGAACTGGCAACCCTTTGGTTCACAGCTCGCACTCAATCCACTGAGCTATACCAGCCAGGGGTTTTACCATCCTTTTTGCACTTACTAAAACCTAGTACCTGTACTAATGCAGTGGAGATGCAGTGTTTTCCACATTTAGTCTTCATTTCTTATTAAACTTGAGTAAACTTAGGGCTTGGTTTTCCCAGGACAGTCCTCATTTATGCCTGTTGTCCAGACATAATTATTAACAGTACTCTCTGTCACTCTCAAAAGTGCCCCAGTTTAGATTATATGGTCACCCTATATTTAGCAAAAGTCTGATTTCTTTCAAGGTGTTAGGCCTAAAAGCCAGGGACCTATTCGCAAACCACTAGCAATACTCATGCAGCCGTGGTATTGGGATGAGGACAACAACAGGGGGAGACTTTCCCCAAAAGTATGGACTATTTGGCATAACACCAGACATTGTTATACGGGCACTGAGCAAGGACTGAGGCACTGATCCTTTAAGCAAATTTTTCCAGATCAAACAGGTAGTACGTGGTAGAGCTTACTAGCTCAAGCAGTCTGACTCTATATAGAGTTCACGAAAAGACACTAGAAAGTGGTGTGAAAACAAGGGTCAGTCTGTTAAGTACAATTGAGGAAGGTTGGAATGCACAAAAGAATGTGGACAAATGGGTGGGTGCCTTTTTATTGCATTCCTTTCCCATCTGCCTTCACCTGCCAGCAAGTAAAGGCAAGTGAGGTCACCAAAAGTGGCAAGCCGGACCTGACTTTGCTGGTTCAAAAACTACCTTTAGTAGCAATGGTTGAGTCAGGTCAGTCAAGGGATTTGCTCAGTGTCACCACACAGGGACATTTTGGAGCCATGGTTTATGCTACTTCCCCTGACCTCAAGTCCTTTGACTGCAAATCCAGTGCTTTGGGAAGGGTTTTCTTCCCAACTTAAGGACCACGTGGGTATTAAGCATGTGGAAAATTGAAGCTAGGGACTCATGGCATGGTTTGTACTCTGTCTTAATCATAAACAAGGGTCCAGCCTCCCTGTGAGGTTTGCTACAGTAATACTGTTGCCAATTTCAGAACCTCCTACAGCGATATAGTTTTCACCATAATTGAATTATCTTGCTACATTGTATACCAATTGAGAGTTTCCAGTTTAAAAGCAAAGTTCCAATGTTGAATTGTCAGCTACCTGTTTGTTTCCTAGATTTGAAAGAACACATAAAACAATCTTGTTTCATGTCATCTGATTAGAGTCCAGATTTTAGGGTGTTGGTCAGCCAAACTATAAGGTCCAGGACAAGTTCCATTTTCTCCTTATATTGCCCACCTGTCATGATCTCGCCTTTCAGTCAGCTCATATAGCCCCAGAGACTCCTTCCCCTCTGGGTATAAATACGTGCATTTCTCCCTTATCTTAAAAAAAAAAAAAACACATTCCTGGGCTCTGACATGCCCCCAGGCTGATACACTAACTCTTTCCTTCTACATTCACATTTCTTCAAAGAGGAAACTACATTTCACAGGGTTGGCCTCACTCCTGAACCCCCAATCTGGCTTCCTCCTCTACCTCTCATTTTCTTCATAGAGCACCAGTGAGCTCCTAATGGCACAAGGATTCTTTGACTCTCAAAATACATGACATTGTTACTACCTCTCCCGTGTAACCCTCTCATCCCTCGATTTCTATGAAACTGTACTATACTTGTTCTCTCCCAACTATTCCTTTTTGGTCTCCTTTCTGGCATCTTTTTCTCCTGCAAAGCCCCACAAACAGGCATTCCTCCAAATTACACTCTTCCTACCTCAAAAATTCTCACCATAGTGTGGGGTAGGTTTTAAAAAGTGACATCTGGTTGTTTCTTTTTTCTTTTCTTTTTTTTTTTTAACTCGCTCTGGCAGCTGCTAAAATGAATGGATTGTAGGTCAGCAGAAATGGAAAAGAAACTAGCTAGATCTTGTGGGAAGTCCAGGTGAGCAGTTACAGTGCCAGGACTGGGGTAGCAGCAGAGTGTAGGCAGAGAGAACTGGATGTACGGTATTTGAGACATATCTTGGAGGTGCAACCAATGGAAATTGTTGGTACATTAGATTTGAGAGTGAGGGGGGAAAAGAGGGAATACACGTAACTCCCAGGTTTGTGGCTTAGGCAACTCGATAGTTGTTGGGCTCGTTCTTGAGCTACGAAAGATGGGGCAGGGGCAGGAAAAACTTGGGTGGGGAGATCGGAAATTTCATTTGAAAATATTAAGTTAGATGTGACTATTAGACATTCTGGTGGAGGAAGCCATGTTCCCTTGGCTTTCTCAGCCACTCATGACTTGAGCTGTCTCTTTCTTATGTAGGGAAAAAATAGGAAGGTTAAGCACCTGTGTAAACCACTGATTTATAAAACTCAACAGTTCAACCATTTTTAAAAAATCAAACTCATTCAGCTCCACCGTGTGAGTTCTTCCTCCTTGTTTTCCCCTTTTCTTAAAATTTACTTATTTATTTTTTAGAGAGGGAAGGGAGGGAGAAAGAGAGGGAAACCTCAATGTGTGGTTGCCTCTCACATGCCCCTTACTGGGGACCTGACCCACAACCCAGGCATGTGCCCTGACTGGGAATCAAACTGGTAACCCTTTGTTTTGCAGGCTGGCACTCAACCCACTGAGCCACACGAGCCAGGGCTGTTTTCCTCTTATATTGATACTACTAGCCTTCTCCTAAACTAGACTTTTAAGAGTTTCCAGTGATTCTCTTCCATCTCCTTCTTTCTCACCAATATCCAAATAGTAAGGAAGTCCTATTGAACCTACTGTGTGCAGTGGTTCTTACTCTCTGTTCCCATTGCCCCTACCCTAGTTGAAATCATCATGACTTCTTCTCTGGACCATTGTGGCACTCTCCCTGCCTCTAGTCTTTCAATAGCTCATCTTTCCTGCACACCACAGCTGTAGAATTTTTTTTTTAAGATTCCTGTTTAAATGTCTCCTCATTTCCCACAGCCTGTTATCTTTAGCCTGCCATTAAAAACCCTTCATGACCCAGCCCCTTCATCTAAACTAGACTAGAAATATTCTCCTTTTTTATTTTTGCATATGCCATTGATTCCAGTCTTCATGTCCTCCCCTAGCTCCCATCTTCACCGAGTAAAACCCTGTCCATCTGCTAAGACCCCCTCAAATACAACTCAGTAAGAATCCCATTTGTCATTTAAGTACCAGTGATGAAGTACTTGGTGCTTATGTATTAAGTAATTTAAGCACCCTGCATTCATTATCTGATCCTGTGTTGTATATGGATTTTGTGTATTTGTCTCATCTCGATGAGAATGCAAATTCCCTGATAGTCTGAGGAAGTGTGGGGTCACTGTCTTCCACTGGCACCCCCAAAATGGTCTCCAGGCACTGGGTTGCAACCTCCAAGCTCTCCTGGGTATCAGATGAGAGCCGCCCATGCTGCAGCTGATCGGGCAGGAAGCAGCTGATGGCACAGGCCAGGCACTTCTCTTAACCATCTTGAGACGGGAAGAGGTGATGTCCTGGGGTTTTTCAGGATCTGCAAAGACTCTCAGGTGGCCAAACCCCGACCCCGCAAGGTAGGCTGCTTTAAATTTTATTCATTCATTCATTCATTCATTCATTCATTCATTTTTGAGAGAGAGAAACATCGATTTGTTGTACCATTTTTTAAAAAGATTATATTTATTTATTTTTAGAGAGGGAAGGGAGGGAGGGAGGAAGAGAGAGAGAGAGAGAGAGAGAGAGAGAGAGAGAGAGAGAGAGAGAGAGAGAGGGAGAGAGAAACAGAAACATCAATGTGCGGTTGCTGGGGGTCATGGCCTTCAACCCAGGCATGTACCCTGACTGGGAATCAAACCAGCAACAGTTTGGTTTGCAGCCCACACCCAATCCACGGAGCTGTGTCAGCCAGGGCTTGTTGTACCACTTTTTTTAAAAGACTTTTTTTTAGACGGAGAGGAAGGGAGGGAGAAAGAGAGGGAGAGAAACATCAGTGCATGGTTGCTTCTCACGCACCCCCCAGTGGGGACCCAGCTTGACCCAGGCATGTGTCCTGACCTGGAATCCAACTGGCGACCCTTTTGGTTGACAGGCCAGCACTCAATCCACTGAGCCACACCATCAAGGGCTGTTGTTCTACTTTTTTGTGCATCCATTGGTTGATTCTTGTATATGCCCGGATCAATGCTCTAACCAAGTAAGCCACCCAGCCAGGACAACAAGGTAGACTTTGAAGAAGGTAAAGATATTGGGTTGTCTTAGGGGTGTTAGTATGTCAGTTCAGCTTCATGTGAGAGTTGGGTGCTTCAGCATCGGTCAACTCGTATCAGTACATAGGGACTCCTAGGGACTTGGAAATACTGCTAGTAACTCTAAAACTGCTTCAGAATGTTCTCTAATGTGAACCCTCACATGAAACCTAAAATATTCCCCTAGCCTTTCAACAGGTGCAAAAGCAAAGGGAGGAGAGAAAATCTGCAGTCTCCAAATATCACTGAAA